TGGAGGCCACTGTTGCTTATTCAGAACCCCTCGAAAGACCAGAACGAGACACGATGGCTCTTGCCAGCTCTACCACAAGCATCCTCTCCAGGCTGCTCCTGCTTCTGATGCTGTCCAACCAGGGACTCCAGAGTCCATTGAAGTCCCCAGATACCTGCCATTTAACCTCAGAGGAACCCTACCCCTTGAATTGCAGCTTAATTGCCACGGAGATTATGGGGAAGCTCCCGGTGAGTAGCTGGCTGAGGTTGGCCTGGTGCAGGCTGGCTCCAGGAGCTGCCTCAAGCCAACAAGCTTCATGGTTCTTTCTTCCTATGTCCCCACAGGAAATCAACATCACTGAAGTCGATGTCAAAGCAATACTGAGGGTAAGAGCTTGGCCCTGCTTTGGGGGCATACTTGGGTGCCATCTATCTCCTGCCTGGGTGACTTCAGCCATGTCATTCCACCCTGCCTTGTTTCAGTTTTTGCATGTGTCTCAGTTAAGAGAACTACCAAGTGACTCTATAAGCCTTACACCTATCTGGGGGGCAGTACATGCCACGGCCTTGGATGGAATAATGAAAGTTACATTTTAGGTTAGAGAATGAGAAGACTGCTGTGGGCCAACCCTACCATAGGCAACTGGCTCCATTTTCAATGGGGGAAGCCATGGACTGGCAAATGAGCTGTTCTCTGTGATTGTGTCTTTTGTCATTTTTCCTCCTTAAAAACTGAGTTTATGTTTTCCACTTCCACCATGCCCAGACTTTAAGTTCCTAGTTCCAGTCAGATGCAATGGTTCTGTCTCGCTTTGATTACTTGGACCTAACATGAAGTCCTTTCCAAGCTTGCTGGATGTCTACTTGTCCCCTCCCTGGGAGCATGCTAGGGTCCCTAAGGATATTCTTTCAGGTGTCTAGAAAGTCTTATTTGTGTTGAAGCATTAACCTTGTGGTATCTGGCAACTTGGGCATAAGTATTTCCCCTGGTCAACCATCTGCCTTTTTCAGAGCTTGCCTGGGGAGGTGTGTTTTCTTCAAGTGTGGATAGATCTCCCCAGCCCTTCACACAGCCCAAAGACAGCCAGGGGTTAGGGCTTGGTGCTTGAGAGAGGCAGGCACTTGCCTGGGATATGCACTTGCTTTTAGGCCCAGGGTAAATAAGGGACCGGAATGAGGCTGTTCAAAGAAGCCTCTAACAGAAGACTCACCTCCCCAACTCTTACCCCCAAGCTCTCACCTCCCTATCTCTTACCACCTCAGTCTTATCTCACCTCCTCATCTCTCACCTCTCCATCTTCCACTCCTCAGCTATCACCCCCAGCTCTCACCTCCCCAGTTCTCACCTCCCCAGCTCTCAGCTCTCACCCCCATTCTCACCTCCCTATCTTTCATCTCCTTAGCTATCACCTCCCCAGCTATCACCTCCCCAGCTATCACCTCCCCAGCTCTCACCTCCCCAGCTCTCACCTCCCCAGCTATCACCTCCCCAGCTCTCACCTCCCCAGCTCTCACCTCCCCAGCTCTCAGCTTCTCAGCTCTCACCTCCCCAGTTCTCACCTCCTCAGTTCTCACCTCCCCAGATCTCACCTCCTCAGTTCTCACCTCCCCAGATCTCATCCCCCTCAGTTGTCACCTCCTTAGTCCTTATACTCCCCAGCTCTCACCTCCATTCTCACCTCCCCAGCTATCACCCACCCCAACTCTCATCTCCCCAGCTATCACTCCTCCAGCTCCCCTTAGCTCTCACTTCCCCAGCAACCCCCCCCAGCTCTCCTCCCCAGCTCTTACATGGAGGATTCTTTGCCTTCTCAGAATAAGACCTTGCAGAGAGTAAACCTGTGCGAATTCCTGAAAATGAGAATGAATTTGGAAAAGGAGAAATTGGAAGAGGAGAAATCGAAATTGGAAGCGATCAAGTGCAATCTTGAGGTGTGTGAAACTGCTGAGGGCTTAGGGGATCCCGGCCTTCACCCTTTCCAGCATTTAGTGGGGAGGAAAGTAGGGCCTGTTCCTTTCCCCAGGGATCTGACGGTGCCTTGGTGTCTCTCCACAGAAACTTGAGTATTGCCTGAAGGCACCTGTGAGCACCTCCGAGGTAAGCAGTCTTCCCCTCTCCATGCCCTGCAGGTAGTGCCTTTACCCAAACCAGACCTATAGCTTGCCATGGCCCTCAGCAGCCTGTTCATCTCCAAAGCCATCTTCTCTGGTTCTTCACAGATGAGAGGCATCTACCTCAACAGGAATTTGACAGAGTTTCAGACGAAACTGAGGTTCTATGTGAGCCAACTGAACGATCTTCTGCCGGTACCAAGACCACCTCATTCATCATCTGACTCTGTCACTTCTTGCCCTGTGGCCATGGAATGTGAAAAAAGCTGAGTGACTGGAGTCTGAATGTCCCTCAAGGTCCATGCCCAGGAGGAGGATTTCATTTTCCCCTGTGGCAACAGATATATTATCAATTTATCTACTTTTTGAATTGTGTTCCCATTTTATTCCACCGAGGCTATTTATTTATGTATTTATTTATGTATTTATTTATTACCTTCTGCAATGTGAAATATATCTGTTTTAGCTGAGGAGTTGTTTCTCCATGTTTTGAAAGAAAAAAAAATTCCAAGGGAGACTGGGGCATGTTCATTTGTTCCTTGTGTTTTCAACAGGCTTTTAAACACTCGTGGAAATAAATAATTTTGAACAAATGGGCTTTGTTTTGTCAAGTGTCTTAGTGTGGCTTCATCTCTGTGGCAGTCCTAGATGAGACTTGTGGGTCATGATCTTTGGATGCAGGGTAGAGGCTGTCCATCCCATCATCCCCCTGCCATTCCCCTGCACAGAGGAGGGACCTCAAATCCAGCATCCCAAGCAGCCACACGGCATGCAACATGTGCCAGATCTTGATCTGGACATTTCACCTGTACTATTTAGTGCATTCCTCATTCTAAACTAGAGTGTGCAACCTCTGTTTTATGGGAATACTGAAGTCCAGTGTGGCAAAGCAACCGCCGAGTTGTAGTGCCCCACTCCAGGACTCTAGATCATAATGCTGAGGACTGAAATCCCATGGAATGCTCCCCTAGTGGTCACGACTAAAACTGCAGCAGTCCCGCAACTCCTCCCATAGTGGAAATCTAGTTCCAGTCTCTATTTCCACATGGCAGTGCCCTCTAAGGATGCAGGCTACTCAGACCCAGAAATCCCTCTCCTTCCTGAAGTTTCCATGCCTCCCTGGGCTTCCAGCTTCTCTTGGATGATTTAGTCTCCCTACCTCGGTGCCTGACTCCAGACTGGCCCCTGGGATTACACGGCCTATTGAGTTAGGCTGAGCTATAAAAATGAATTTTTGATCATTAATCCTTTCTCTTTGGGGCCTTGGTGGGCTTGTTCACAGTCTGTATTCTAAGGCCGCCGGGTGGGACCCACCTTCACCTCTTTGTGTTTCATCATGTTTATCAACCTCTTGGGAGTTCCAGCAAACGTGACTTCCTAGAGTCTCCCCCCCCTCGCCCCTACCCCCCACATACACACAACACAAACCCTTCACCCACCTGCAGCTCGGTCCCACTGTAAGATCACCACCGCTACTCTGGATCGTCCAAGCTGACTCGTGAAGGGCTCTTGTTTGAATGGGAAGGGCAGACAGGGAGCCACAAGAAGGACAGCCATGATACCTGGTTGCAGAAACCAGCCTGGATGGTGGAGACCTAGGCGGCACTGAAGTGGAGTTCAATCTGCTGCCTAACTCTTTGGTCCTGTGGTTCCCTGAACCCTGCCTGGTGACTCCTCAAGCCTAGGAGTTGGGGGCGGGGGTACGGGGACATGGCACAACACCACAAGAAGCCAGATGAGCCATCTTCCTCTGTCACCTTGCTGGGAAGTAGTAAACTCCCTGGTTCCTCAAGAGTCTCTTAAAAGACAGCTTTGGGCACTGATATCAGACCCTAGGGGCTCATTCCCCTTTATTCTTCTTTTCTATCTTTATCCAAGCGAGGAACAGCCCAGCTGCTTGAAGACTAGGAAAATATGAGCAATTTATCTGCTACTAGCTCAGAAATGTATTCATCTACACCCCTCTTCCCAGTACACTTTTAAATTCCCAAAGAAACACATCTCTCCTCTTCCCCCCACCCACCAGCCTGACTCACCCGGAAGCCCTTGAGGTGCTCAGAGGGCAGAGAAATGAGGCATTACTGCAGTTCTTGAAATGACCACTAGAGGGAGATGTGCCCCAGTCTCAGGGTGCATCTTTGGACGCTGTGGGAAACATGGGGGTCTGACATACCCAGTTAACTTGGAATCTAGTCTGGATTTCCCCAGTTCCCCTGAGTGTCCATTTCTGTCCACTTGCCTTCGCTCACAGATTTTTTTGGGTGGTGGTGGGGGGTTCTGGTTCTATTTTCATCCTATCTGAGATGGCATTTGTGCTCCACTCATGTCCCTGTGATGAGTCATAGCATGTCATCAGCCCCACTTTAGTCTGTGGTCTGCTACCTGTTGCCTTGTCCAGCCATGCTTCTCCCATAACTAGTTCACAGAGGGCCAGAGTCAGTGGTGAGCTGGGACCAGCTCATACTGGCTCACAGAGCTAATTGTTAAATGTTTAAAAAGAAATTCCAGAACTTCCTGGGTAAGGTAGTAGATTAGAAGCAGCATGTGTGTGCATAGATGAACACTAGATAAAAACCACAATAGATCTATTCATGTATGAAAAGAGCTAAAGAAAACTGAAATAAGCCGAGATAGGAGTTTCTCTGAAAAGAAGGAGCCAAGTCACTGGTAGCAGCCACAACTCTGCTGCAGCTGGCCAGATGAAAACTGAGACTAGGTGGAAACCTCAAGAACTAGACAGAGGGGGTCCAGGCTCTGGAAACACAACCAGAGGCTGGATAAGGCATGTACAGATTGTGGCTGAAACCCAGAGACCAGAGGCTGAGACTAGGAGATAGACACCAGAGAAGACACTACCCTCCCCTTACACTGCCTGGTGAGCTGCACTGGACTGTGAGAGCACTGTGGGACCTGGTACAGTGCCTTAATGGCACACAGAAGTAAGCTCATGTGTGCAGGCCTTAGACCTTCCAGAGCCTGCCACCCAAAGACCAATCCTTAGAACACCAGAGGCAAGGTTGTAGCATGCAAGCAGCAGACCTCAGAGCAGGGAATGCCGGCAGAGAGTGGACTTTAGTGGCTGAGTTCTTTCTCATTTGGAAGGACACACTGACTTAACTTGTTTGAATTACTGAGACTAGCATACCTCCTCCCTACTTGTGGGGACCAATTCAGTCCTTTATCCTGCAGTGGTTTCTTTATTTCCCATGACCCAGGCCTGATGTTTTCCTTCTCATTCCTGCCTTACTACCTCTTGCCTCCTTTCTCTGTTTCTTCCCCCATCTCAGTTACATATTGATACCTTTAGCTCTAAAAGAAATGATAAAGCACTCTTTCCACAGCCAGTGCCTAGTAATGCATCAAAACCTTTTCAGGAACACCCACAAAGTGCACAAAAATCTTCTGTACTCCAACACCAGGACAGCTGTTAACTGATGTATTTTGCTGATGTTACCTCCTGCCTTACTAACAGCATGTGCAGCCGGATCACCAGGAAGACTCGTATGAAATAAAACCAGTAAATAAGAGGAATAGGGGAAAATAAAATCTGGAGGACCTATCTGTCCTAAGAGATGCATAGAACACAACAAAGTGGCACAAAAACGATGAGACTACAACCTGCTCCAGTGCCATTGCCAGCTCACAACTCCTCTATCTGTACATAATGAAATAGATGAAATTCTAGAAGATCACCGGGTCTAACACCCCCACCCCACCCCCAACAAGCTCCCACTACCCAAAGCAGTAGAGAGATCAATTCAGGACTGAAATAAAAACATTCAGAGCAAAAGTGATCAGTAACTTGGAGGAGAAGTTCAAAACCATGGAGAAAAAAAAAAAAAAAAAAAAAAAAAAAAAAAAACTCCAGCAAGGAAATTGAAACACTGAAAAAGAACCAAACAGAAAATTTTAGAAGTGAAAGAACTGGTAAATCAAATTTAAAACGACAGTGGATGGGATGGTGTGACGGCTGAGTGGGCAGAGGTTCTTATGTTTGGGTCTAACAACCCAAGTTTGATCCTAGAACCCACCCATAAGGTGACAGGAGAGAGCCAACTCCCAAGAGTTGTTCTCTGACCTCTACACTTGAACAAAAGTACACATGTGCCTGCACACACACACACACACACGCACACACACACACACACACACACACACACACACACACACACACACACACACACACACACACACACTAAAATATTTGCAAACTGAATTCAAGAATACATTAAGAAGCTCACACATCACGGCCAAATTGGTTTCACATCACAGATGCAAGTTTGGGTTAACACACACAAATCAGTAAGTACAGCACACCACACAAATAGACAAGGACAGAAATCATACTATCATCTCCATAGGTACAGAAAAGGCATTTGACAAAGTTCAACACGCCTTCATGATAAAAGCCCTAAAGTAATTTAGAAGGAGCATACCTCAACATAAGAAATATTACATGTGGTAAACCTATAGTCAACAATAAACTAAGCAGGCAAAAACTGAGAGCATTTCTTCAAAATCTAGAACAAGATAAGGTTGTCCACTTTCTCTACTTGTATTCAGTATAGGGTTTCAAGTCCTAGACAGAGTAATAGGCAAGGGAAAGAAATAAACAGATACAAATAGAGAATAAAGAAGTCAAATTACTCTTATCTGCAGATGGCATGGACATGCTTAAAAGACCTTAGAGTTTGTAACAGAAAATCCTTACATTTGACAAATATTCACAAATATTTTGTTTTTCAGAACACAAACTTTACACACAGAAATCAGTAACTTTTCTATATACTAATAACAAATTTTCTGAGAAAGAAACTAGGAAAACCATTCACAATAGCTCCAAAATTTAAAATACTTAGACAGAAGGATACTAAGCCTAGTCAACGAGATGACAGAATTCCACAGTAAAAACTTTAAGACACTGAAAACAGAAATTATTGGCAGAATAAATATTGTGAAAATGTCTAGATTATAAAAAAAAATAGTCTATGGTTTCAATGTCATTTCCATCAAAATCCCAGTGACATTCTTCACAGAACCAGAAAAAAATTCTAAAATTCTTATAATCTAAGTAGCTTAGAGGATCCTAAGCAGAAAGAATAATGCTAGAATTATCATAATAGCTAATCTCAAATTATACTACAAAGCCATAGTGACAAATACAGTAAAAAACAGATATGTACATCAATGGAACAGAATAGAGTCCTCAACAATAAACCCACACAGCTATAGATGCCTAATTTTTAACAAAGGCATCAAAAACATGTGGAAAAAAAACAGCCTCTTCAAAACAGTGCTCAGAAAGCTGACTGTCTACATATAGAATAGTGAAAGTAGACCTGTATCTCCCACAGTGCACAAAGATGAATTAAAAATGAACCTAAGACCTGAATATAAAGTGCTAAAGCTACTAGAGGAAAAACACTCAAAACATAGGCATGAGCAAGAACCCTTAAAAGGACTCCAGCAGTATAGGAAATCTCCCTAAGAACTGACAAATAACATCCATGAAATTAAGTTTCCACATAGCCAAAGAAACTGTCAACAAAGTGAAGAGACAGACTACAGAGTAATAGAAAACTTTGACGCTATATATCTAACAAAGGGTTTAATTTCTATCATATACAAAGAACTGAAAACTAGACAACAAACCTCCACATCATCCAAGAATAAGTGCGATGATGAACTAAATAGACAGTTCTCAAGAGAAGAAACAAATAGTCAATAAATATCTGAAAAAGTGTTCAACATTCTCAGCCATCAAGGCTGCCCAAAACTACTTTGAGATTCCATCTCTCTCCAGTCAGAATAGCAGAATGGTGGTCAGTATGTGGAGAAAGAGAAATCCTTACTTATTGGGGACATAAACTGACACAGCAACTATGGAAATCAATATGGATGTTTCTCAAAAACAAAAACAAAAAACAAAACAGAACAAAAAAACACCCAGCAAGTGGAACTACCATATGATACCATATGACTACTTCTGTATCTAAAAGACTCAGAGAGTCCTATCGTGGAGATACTTGCACATCCAAACTATTCACATTAGCCAGGAAATGGAACCAGCCTAGATGTCCATCAACAGAGGCATAGACAAAGGAAATGTGGTTTACACAGTGGAGCTTTATGCAGTCACGAAGAAAGATGAAACCATGGGATTTCCACGGGGAAAAAGCATAGAACTGGAAATTACTGTATTAGGAGAAGTAACACAGACTTAGAAAGACAAATAGCACATATTTTCTCTCTAATGAGGGTCCTGCATCTTAATTTTTATATGTATCTATATGTGGGTGTGGTCTTAGTTCATGAAACTAGAAAAGGGACGGTAAGAGGGGAAACAGGTCTTAAGAGAGGTGAGAGGGGACAGTGGGGAATAGAACAGCTATCAAAGCAGAATTGGGGCTACTGGAAGGGGGAAGAGGACCAACAGGAAGGGAATGGGGGAAGCCGAGGGTGGGGATGGGCTTTCAAAGGAAGTGTGTTTGGAATTGCAAAAAGAAATCCATTACCTAATCTTTTAACTCTAAAAAAGAAATAATTATTGGCAGACAACGATCGGTTGGTTATCTGTAGCATGACAATCATTTGTCGAAGTGATAGGATCTACAACCGTGCAAACGGGGGAAAGGTTTCTTTGTATTAGTTTACTTCTCTACTAAGATAAAAATACTGATCAAAAGCACCTTGTGGAGGAAAGGGTTTCTTTTGGCTTACAAATCAGTCTGTTACCAAGTAAGCCCAAACAAGAAGGCAAGGCAGGAACCTGGAGGCAGGAACTGAAGCAGAGACCAAGAAGGAGTGCTGCTCATTGGCTTTCTCAATTCACCTTCTTATAGGACCCCTGACCATCCCCACCTACAGGGGCTGTGCCCTCCCCTATCCATCATTAATCAAGAAAACTCCCCTCAGATACCCCAACAGTGGATTTGAAGGAGGCATTTCTTCAACTGAGGTTTCCTCCTCCCAGGTGACTCTA